TCCAACAGTCAAAACACACGCAAGTCTTTTATATTCCTTGCCGCTTTTAAAGAGTTGTTTTTTAAAGTGACCTTTTTTCGTGTACAGTGTCGGCGTCATCATCTTCGCTGTCATCATTTTCCACTTGCGGGAAAACGGGCTCGAATTTCGCGACTTGACGGAGATTTAACTGCGCCAACAATTCATCCAAACTTTGATCCGTTGAGCTAACATTAGCGCTTTCTTGAAAAGTTCAAACACATAAAGAATAGGTGAAAAGCGAAAAGGTCTGCAGTTTCTTTCAGATTCTAAATTCGATATAAAATTATTGGATTTCGACTTTACTGGAGAACTTATAAACATTGACGAATACGTGAACTAATGGACTATGAACTCTTACAGTGTTGTTTGTTGAAAAGAGACTGACGCAAAGCGACAGCTCTTTTCATATCCAACTTATTATGACCTGGTCCATGACGTAATACGCAAACGAGTCTAAAAGAGGGCTGGCATAACAGCAGTGTAAAAAGTTTCATTATTTAGGTTTAGTAGAAGAAAAAGTTCTCAAATAAATGCAGCGCAGCAGGAGCTCAGTGCATAACATATAAAACTGAACCGTGAAAACCGGTGCTGGACGCTATCTGCAGCAGAAATTAGAATTTACTAGAAAGAGTATAAGTTGTACGGTTTACTGACGTCTCAAGGCATTTTCCGTAGGGCAAAATAAACAAGCATTTTAGCCACTTTCTTAAAGATCTGCATATACGTAGTGCGACGAATGATGTGTAAGGGTTCAGGAACAAGACAGGCACAACCGTTTGTTTTATGCTTGCTTTACAATTCAGTAACACTGGCAACTGCACATCTCAGGTTGCACAAAGGAAAGAAACCGCAAGAAACATACCACTACTTCCGAATGAATGATTTAGGGATGAAGTAGTTTCTGCATCGGATGCGCTGTAGAAACCGGAATCGTGTGGTCCTGAACTGTTCTGACTGCTGTTACAAGCTTCACTGAACGAGCCATTTTGAGTACTTGCAACTGGTTCACATGAGTTCACATCAATTTCAGCAATGGCCTAAACCACAAAATTCGCAGTAAACACGCTCCAACGCATGCCCACTATTTGATGACACATCGAGCAAATGAGGGAAAACTCATTGTGCGACTAAGTAATATCTAAGATAAGTGATAAATTTAATCGGAGAGAAGCAGAACTGTACCACGGGGCGCCAAGGCCCAACAGTGTAAAATCCGATCCAGCAAAGAGAAATTCGGTGGCTAAGCTGGAAGAGAAAATAATAAAAAAGCGCAGAAAGTGAAATAGTGCCAAGAAGCACCATAGATTGTTTGGAAATCTTGCAATTCATCAAAATCGATGTGGGCCGATCAAATCAATTTACAGGGTGTTTTGCGTAGTTTTTTAACAGCTTTTTCGCTTTCTCTAGAAGCCTGCAAAATTTTACCAGCCTTGCTAATTTACAGATTGTAGTGCCATTCAAAAGCTGCCACACAGTCGCGAATTTAACATGGAAATGCAAGTGACAGAAATCAAAAACAAAATTGTCAAAAAACAAAGCTTTAGGAGTAGATTTGACAGATAACTGAAAATAAACAATGCTCCAGTTTTCTAGTATCGTATTTCATGTGGAAATTCAAATAGTATGGGATCAGGACAAGTTTTGCTCTAATTTTGTTATTAGAGCAAAACTTGTCCTAATCCCGTATTATTTGAATTTTCACATGAAATGCGATACTAGAAAACTGGGGCATTGTTTATTTTCAGTTGCGATACTACAAAACTGGAGCATTGTTTATTTTAACTTACAAAACCAGAACAAGTTTGAGAATACATCGACAATCAAGTACAGCACGAAATTTTCTTATACGGTGCACCAACCTTTGCAAGGGCAGCGATCAAAGCTGTTCCTTCGTTTTTGTCACTTTCCAGACCTTTCGACTCCACAACATCGTCGCAATCATCATAAATATCACTTGCTAGAATTTTATTTTCAACCCAATCCAGCAGCGCGACCAGTGCTTCCTAAATGAAATATTACAATCGAATGCAAGAAATGTCATGGCCGATTATGACGTAAGGAATTTATTATTTCAATTCTAGTTTTAATTTCCTAAATCTAACTACATTTTAAATTTTTATTAAATTTTCATTGCTCTTTCACTGCAATTACAGAACTAAAATATTTCT